GTAAGCTCATTTTAACAGTAACTATTTTTCTAATAAAGCACCATAACCAATATCTGTTGATCATTCCCTATTTTTTGTTAGCGACTACGGAGCTCACAGGTGAAACTGTGCCAATGAACCAGTCAGAGAACTGAACCTCTGCGTTTTCCTTGAAATAAATCTGGCTAGATTGGTGGGTGGCCTTCTGGGCTGGGGTACCCCATGGCCATGCACCTGAACCTCACAGGCATGGCCTTGGTTGTGGTGGACAGAGGGGTGCCTGTCCAACCCAGCTGACTGAGGCCCCTGAGTCTTGAATACTTTTCCAGGCCCTGAGATTTAATAAGTGAGCAAGCATTCTTAAAACACTCCTCTCATACTTACAACTACTGCTGTGTGTGTGTGTGTGTGTGTGTGTGTGTGTGTGTGTGGTGTGTGTATATCTCTGTTTGTGTCAGTGTATGTATCTGTGTGTGTATGTGTATATACAACTCTTTTTGTGTATCTGTGTGAGTGTATACCTCTGTGTGTGTCTGTGTGTGTACACTTCTATTTGTGTGTCTTTGTGTAAGTATATACCTTTGTGTGTGTTTCTGTATGATACACCTCTTTGTGTGTGTAAGTGTGTACCTGCGTGTGTGTGTGTGTGTGTGTGTTTGTATGTGTGTCTATGTGTATCTGTGTGTTTAGTGAGAGGGAAATAAAGTGATAAGGCAAATGTAGCTCAGTGTTAACAGTTGGTGAAGCTGGGTGAAGGGAACATGGGAGTTCTTGGAGTTATTTTGGTAACTTCTGTGTGTCTGAAGTACTTAAAAACAAACAATTAGGATGGACAGGAGAAAGCAAAGCCTTGGGAGACAAGTGCATTCCAGGGGCCTGAGAGCACAGATAAGCCCTGGTCCGCGGTGACCCTGGGGACCGGCAACACACTGACGCCATAGGCCCGGCGCCGGGGAGGACTCTGGGTTTTCTCAGGAGTGAGGGACATGAGGCTGTCTACACCAGGGAGCTTCGGGCTCAGAAGTCACCCTCCTGTGGTATGTCCCCATGGTGATGAGGGTGGTAGTGAGGTGAAATGAGGGTGGTGGTTGGATGAGGGTGGTTGTTGAGGCCGAAATGCTGCCCTTGGGCTGTGTGATGGGCTGTGAGCCCACCTTTTTGCCTGCAGCTTGGGCACCGTTACAGTTGTGCCCATGCAGATGAAGTGGGGTCAAGTACTTGGTGCCAGAGCTGCTGCACGTGTGCAAGCTCCCATTTTCGGGCTTGCCATCTCGTTCAGTGCTGGGGCACCCGGAACCCACTGGGAGGCTCAAGGCCGACATTTTTCTTCCCGTGTTGATTTCCCCCATAATATTCTGTGGGAGCTTACCCTTTATTTCTACTTGAAAACTGAAAATTAGTCAACATGGGAAGGATTCTTTACTCAAGTGGTCACAGTGCCTGCACTGTTACTTAAAAGTTATCCCCACTTGAAGGAGCTTTGGGATGAAGTGTGTCAAACCCAGATGTTTGGAGGGAACAGTAATTTGGGCAGTTCCATCAGTTGACATCTGATCGATTTTTCCAGTTCTGTCTGCTAGGCGTGCTGGGGTTTCATAACTCACTGAGGGTCTCCCTGGGGGCTCAGGACTGTGGTCAAGTCTCGCTGAATTAGGGTGGCCAGGCGGAGATTGAGAGGTAGGAGTTGGGTTGTCAGACAGGCTGGATTTAAATTTCCACTCTCCGTTCACTGCCGGCTCCAACCCCGTGGAATATAAACCCCAAACCAAAGAGTTTGGGGGCATGAATTCATCAAAACCAGCCTGAAGTCGGAAAACTTGTGAGCAGTGCAGGGAGCCTGCTCCAACACTGGAGCCACAGGAGCCGTGTGCCTGCCCATGGGACTCGTGCCGCCAGAGGGCAAACCCTTCCTGATGGCCATTTCCCAGCCACGGCCCTTGTCCACCCAGAGTCCCCGGCTCAGACCTCACCTCCCTGTGCTGTGTCAGCCATAGGGCCATGAATAAGGGGGTGTGGGCTGTAGGGGTAGGAGGAAAACACGGTGTGGTCAGTCACATCTCAGGACACACATCTGCCATTGAGTCATCCTTACTTGTCACCTGGGAATAGAGGTAATACCCCCTCATCTTATGTTCTCAGGCTGTGATTTCATGTGGTGTTTAACATTAGCCTTCTTGGATCTAACATGCTATGGATTGTCAGAGGGCTGTTACTTTGTAAATCTCAGGGGGGAAAAAATAAACTCTGCCAATTAAATGCTCAGGCACAGTAAAATATACACTGCCTCTCAATTTTAGAAGTATTAAATGCAAAAAAAATGCATTCTGGAATTAAGAAATTACTGTGCTATTGGTTACATTTAATTTCTTTTCCAGAGGAGATGGGGAATCAACATTTTGAAGTAAACATATGAGCAGTGTTTTAAAATGCCCCTTGGAAAATGAAAACAACCACTTCTCTTTTGCACATCAATAGGGGTCATTATGGTCCTTATGTATAATAAATGGAATAAAAAGCAACATGCATGTATATATATATATATATATATATATAGATAGATAGATAGATAGATAGATAGATAGATATAGATATAGATATAGATATAGATAGATAGATAGATACTGAAAAATACTTAAAAACCCAGTAAGTGAACAAATCCAAAGGAAACCACTATGAATACTATAATCTTACTTGTGGAAAGTAATCATGTGTGTGTGTGTGTGTGTGTGTGTGTGTGTGTGCAACACACACAAACCTCCGATTGTCTGTGTAGAGGAGATTTCTGGAAGGCATCATCACCTGCGGCTTTCTCTGGGGCCTGGTGATGGAGTCGGGCTGAGGTTTGGAAGAATCCTACTTTCTATATGTGCCATTAATGACATTTGAGTTTCTGAAGCTGTGCCTGTGTACCACTTTCATCATAAAAATGCAATAAACAAATGTTAAATTTCTAAAAACTCAAGGAGGTGCAGTATTTATTACTTTTGGTAGTTTTGTTTTATTTCTCAACTTTTGCATTTTCCTGTAATAGGAAAATGAAATGGGGAAGCCGTTTCACCCATTTGTGATGCTTATACTTTTTTCCTTATACGTTTTAATTTATAATTAATCTGAAAATATCAATAGACTCATGCCCTGATTCTTATATTTCCTAAAAGTCATCACCCGGGGATATTTTTCCCATTAATTTTCAGAGTGAAAAGGAGGGACGAGGGAGGGGAGAGGAAGAGAGAGAAAAACATTGATGTGGAAGAGACACATCAACTGGCTGCCTTTCCTATGGGCCCCCACCAGGGACAGAGAGTGAACCCACCACTGTGGTACATGCCCTTGACAGGAATCAAGCCCACAACCCTTCAGTCCACGAGCCAACGCTCTAATCACTGAACAAACTGGCCACGGCCACTCCCTAATTCTTAAGGGTGGTTTGAAATCTCCTGATTGTCAATAAGGTGGAGACCGAGTGACTTCCTCCTAAACCATTTGCACTCAACCTTCTCTGTTGCACAGCAGAGTCGAAAGGGCCACTTTTAAGGTAAGCTGTTAAAACCAGATATCCCTTTATACACAGTAAGCAGCTGAGTTATGTACCTCTAGGAAAAGTGTCAACTTACCTTAATTGGGTTTCTCTTCCTGGAAGATAACTCTCAGTTAATTTCTGCACACCCGCTCACCCCGGCTTGACCCTGGAGTGATGGGAGAACCCTTCACCCACTCTATCTGCCTTTCTGCCTCTTTTGACTGAAAAGCATCAGTAGCAGCAGAAGTTAGTTCAGTTATTCAGAAACCTGATGTGAAAAACACTTCCGTGCAATATGCTTGGTAGACAATGGCCCACAGGCTCTTTCACCAACATCGAGGGAGGCCTTCACTCTTTCCTAAGAAATGGAAAGAGATGTATTCTATCGAAAACTATCCTCTCCTGTTCCACAGCCCAGGACACCAGGGTGCCCCGGAGGGGAGGCAGGGTGCCTGGGGGAGACCAGGTGGCCTCAGGAAACCTACACGTCTGAGTGTCCTCTGAGTGTCTGCGAGCAAGCATCCCTGAATACCGGGATCCCGAGGGCTCTGCTGTGCTCGGAGGCAAACGTTCAATGAAAAGATGTCACCGTCCACAAGACAGAGCCCCAGCTAAGCCGCCAAAGCGCCATGTTAAACATCAGTCACCAACTGCTGTTTTATTCACACCAGATGCCACTTGGAAAAGATAGCGTCCAAGGTTATTTTTAACAAGAGCAGGTTATCTCCTTTTTCAAGATTCTCAGAGAGAGAGAGAGAGAGAGAGAGAAACACGGGCCACAGGGAGCAGCTCTGTTTCCTTCAGCAAGTCCGGGGGAGCTGGCCACAGGCCCTCTCTGCAGCGTGGGCCTCACCCACGCGCGGGTGGCAGCTGCAGGCCCGGAGGAGAGGGATGCGGGTGCCGGCGTGAGAATGTGGTTGCCTGGTTGCCTCACTTAGTTGTCCCAAAAGGTTGGCTTTACGATCTAGTGTGATTAAAAACGTGGGCTGGCGGGTTAAACGCAGTGCTTTTTGGCTGCAGCCCGAAGGCACCCATACTGACTGTGCTGATGGGGAAATGCAAACGCAGCAGGCGCCGGTGAGGGACGGCTGGGGCAGGGGAGCAGTGGGCAGTAGCTGAAAGCATGTGTAAGGGCTCGATGCAGACGGTGGTGGAAGGTTCTGCAGGTGGAGGAGGCCCTTCTGAGCAGAGCCGTTGTAGTTAGTGTAAGTGAGTGAGCCAATAGCATTAGCTGTGCAACAGAATAAAATACACCAGTTGTCCAAGAGGCTATTTGTGACCACTGTACGTGGAGGTTTGAGGGTAGCAGGTGCAGTGTGACCTCCAGCAGGCACTGGGTTTGGGCCAGGATAGGAAAATACTCTTGTAGGACAAATAGTGTATTTTATAAGCATGGTCCACTGGGCATGGGCTCTCAGCGCGCGGAGAGTGGAGGGAGCTGCGTGTGGGCTCCCCGGGGACCCGGGGCTGGGAGGGCCCCCGGCAGGGGAGATGGCTTTACTTCTCCTCCGTGGACAGGCGGTGGAGCGCCTCGCCCAGGCGCAGCAGCTCCGCCCTGTGCTCCAGCTCCTGGTGCAGGCCTACGGGCACGGCGCCCAGGCCGTGGAGTAGTCCGAACAGGCAGCCCGCGATGGTCCCCGTGGCCCCACTCTCACCTGGAACGGAAACACAGGTCCTCAGGGATCCCGAGGGCAGAGTGGGAAGGGGCACACCACGGAGAACTTGATGCTAACCAGGGCCTCTTGGCAAGGACCTGTCTCAGAGATGCTACTGGGCTGATGGCTCTATAGCAGACAGCACCAGGGGTTTCTCAGTCTCCTCTCCCGCCCTCGTGAAGAACCCTGGGCCCTGGGTGGCTTTTGCTCAGTTAAGGGGGTAGGTGTTCCCCCTCTGTCCCTCTCCAAACACCCTGACAACGCACAATGTGTGCAAATGCCTTCGTTGTCATGGGTGCTGGGCGCCCAGGAAGTCCTCCCCTCCAGGCTCTGCAGGTGGCCAGAGTCTACGTGGGCTCCCTCACGAAGACTCCTGTGTGCCCTCCCCCCTGCTCTCAGCTAGGGGTGCTGGGTTGTGTGGGTCACTGTGCCCCTTGGAAAGTCCCCTTCTCCCACGTTCATGGCCACCCTGCTGCCCTTGGCTCCCATCACTCTCTCTTGGGCTCCTCCTCCCCCAGTGGGAGCCTCCAGGCTCTCGAAGAAGCGCCCTGTTGGCCTCCGGGAAGTACAAACTTCTCAATCATCTCAGTACCAGGAGCAGCCCTCTGCCTGACAACAGCCACTCTCATAGTGACAGAATCCGTGCCCTCCCGGAGGCAATGTACACAGGTACCCTCTTTACACCCACAGGAGAAAATGGCACCAGGGAGTGAGGCAAGGCTCCCAGTACTGCAGCAACCATCACTGCTGCTCAGTGGCACAGGGGGGAACTCCTGGCACCGTGTACGCAGCTGCCTTACAGCCCTATAGGTTGGGTTTAATCCTCTGACCTCACAGAGAGACCGGCCTGGAACTGCCTTCGAGCCCAGGACTGCCTGATTCTAAAGTGCAACTTCTCTGTGACTGCAGAGCCTGCAGAGGTGAGGGACAAGACGATGGTGATTGCAGAGGTCAGCATGCTGCCCGGCCAGCACCAGTGGAATCTGCATGCTCTTCGACCAGCAGCCACGAGGGACAGGACCCTGCACCCCAGCGACCTGAACCCTACGTCTCTCTAAGCTCAGACCCACAGGGCCACCCAAGGCAGCGCGGCAACCTGCCTGCCGTCTGTGATGTCTGTGCACGAGTTTGCCGGACCCAGCGCCCTGCCCAGAGAAGAACCCACGGTCTGGGGCACCCTCACGCCTGAAACCTCAGACATCCTGACAGAATGCACAGGGAGAGGGATGGGTGCTGGCCTCCTGGAAGTCCGAGGCCACCGAAGAAGGAAATCTCACCTCCGTGAAACATGGCACGGTGGCAGAGCTCCGTCCAGTTGTTCCCAGCTCCTAAGAGAGCGTCGTAGGCAATCATGGGGGCATCGTGGCCCCGCCGCCCGCCTCGGCCTTCTGAGCTCCATTTCTTGTAGGTCTGAGGAGAGAGCCGGGGGTCAGAGGCATGAGCCCAAAGCAGAACCGTGTCAGAACCTGAGCTCCCTGGGTCCGTCCAGTGGGCTGTTCGTGTACCCACTGAGCATTGAGGGAGTACCACCGTGTGCCAGGCGCTGCCCGGGGCTGGGGAGGGGCAGCGAGCAGGGAAGGCTCACTCCTCATGGCTCTTACACGGCAGCCATTCTGAGATGGACATTCGCAGATAAACAAGCACAACAGCGTGTCAGGCAGCCCCAAGGCCCACGAGGAGAAATAGAGCCGGGCAAAGGGGCGGAGGGTGCTGTGACAGGAGTTATGACACCACATTCAGGAAGCCGCTTGTGGTGACATTGGGTTTGAGGAGGGCAAAGGGACAATAGGATCTTCCACGATCCCTCCCACAGGGACCTGTCTCCTCAGCCCGTCCGTACTGCTTGGGACTAAGATGGCAATAACATAAGGTGACCAGACATCCCGCTTTTGGCGGGACAGCCCCGATTTTTAACCATTTGTCTCGTGTCCCGCGACATTTTAAAAATCGGGACTTTTAAAAAACGCCGCAGGATGTGGGACTAATTGTTAAAAATCGGGACTGTCCCACCAAAAGCGGGACATCTGGTCACTTTACAATAACAGCCCAGGTGCAGGTGGACCCCTGTGGGCAGTGGGACCCCGGAAGCTCCCGGTCCCCATCTCTGACACAGCAAGGCTTACCTTGTCCCTCTCCTCTGCGTCGTAACGGTCAGGGAAGGCGGCTTTACCGCCGCTGTCTTCACTGAGCTTTCTCTCCTCCAAGTAAAACTGCCATTTAGCTTCAAAGTAAAACCAGTGCTCCTGGTACTCTAAACGCAGAGAACAGAGTGTCAGGGTGCCATGGCCATCAGCCGGGTGTGGGGGCCGGGGTGCGGGGGTGAATGGGGCCCGGAGCAGAGGGGCTGGGCTCAGGACCTTGTGGGCAGTGAGCCGGAGGGAACAGAAGACACAGGGCAATGCCCTTTATCCCAGGTGGGGACAAGGGGACGGGAAGAGACCTGGCATCTGGCCTTCGCGATGGCTCTAGACTAGGGGTGTCAAACTCAATCAGAGAAGGGGCCAAAATCTAAAATCCGGCCTAAATCGCGGGCCGAATGGTTTACTGAACAGTCATAAACTGTCATTGTGATGGAAACGCAGCGGAGTGCAGTGATGACAGAGTGGTGCGGGCCACATTGCAAGGCCTGGCGGGACGAATTTGGCCCGCCGGGCCTTGTGTTTGACACATGTGCTCTAGACATTCCAACATGCTTCTATTTGTAACTATTCTGAAACAAAAGCAAGGGAGATGGTGATGGGGAACAAAGGCTATTCAAAGAATTGCTTAACTCTCTTCTGAAACTAGACAGCGACGGCAATATTTCTAAGTGGTTCTTTGAAAATTCTGAACCTGGGTATTTTTATTAATTCAACACCGCCTACAAGGTAGGGAGAGAGGATGTTTTACTATCTTAATGACCGCCAGCTCGACATCTAAACCCCAGAGGGGGTGAAGCAAGTTTTCTGAGGTCATCTGGTGAAGAGGACGTTGATCAGAAATGAGCTGGAGCAGCAGCTACACTTGCTGGTAGCAGAGAGGAGATGGCTCTCTGAGTCTCAGAGCTCCTAGGAAGTCATGAGGGCTTCGCCGTTCCCCCACAAAGTGTGCTGGATTAACACACTTGACCTTGTCCTCCTTGAGAGCAGGCAGAACCACAGCTCTGTGGTACGCCCAGGATGCCAACTGAGTGGAGTGGTGAAGTGGTCAGTGAGGCCCGAGGGAATCAACCGACTCAAGAGGAAACACAGATTCTGCCATGTCTGCTTCTGGTTGGGAAGCTGGGGAATAGAGGGCTGACCAGAAAGGGGCTAGGTGGTCAGGGGCTGCAGAGGAAAGCAGTGTTCCTCTGCCCTTCTAACCATGGGACAGCAGGAGGTGCCTGGGGTGGGTCATGGAATGACATTCCAGATGACATTCTGTTTTACAAAACTAAAGGTGAGGCCCATTTAAGGTCTATTTCAGTGAAATAAGATTAAAAGTGAAAGACAGAAGCAACAGGACGAGGACCAGAATCCACAAATCCCATTAGCCCCACAGAGACTATTTGTATTTCTAACAGAGAGCTCATGCTGGTGTGGGTGCAAGATCAGACAGAGCCTCCTTCCCAAGCAAATGGCCAGTCACCTTTGGAAGTAGATCTTCAAACACAAAAGCATGGAACTTACTTGCTAGCTGTCCTTGCTGCCAATGGATGTTGTCCTAGACTTAGCAGAATATTTTCTGGGGCTGCTCTATAGAACATTATTTTTCTAGATGATTTGAGGTATTTTGTTAAAAAGGGATTAAGAAGAATGGAGGGGAAAAAAAGTATAAAGGAGTCCTTACAAAATAGTCATGAGGATGTAAAGGACAACATAGGGAATATGGTCAATAATATTGTCATAATTATGTATGGGGCCAGGTGGGTACTAGACTTATGGGGGGAAGCTAACCACTATGCTGATACACCGGAAACTAAAATAAACTAATACTGACTGTTAACTGTGATTGACAGATAAAAAAATAAAATCGAAAAAGGGTTCTGCCATAGAGGTTCATAAAACTCCGAGTTAAACAAATTTAAAGTTAAACAGAAAGAATAAAGTCTCAAAATTATCTGACCAATGACTCCTCTTGTTTCTGTTCATGGAACATCTTTGACTATTTACTCTTCAGAAAACAGTGGGGAAGACCATTTGATACTAGAGTCTGGGGAAATCTATAGATGAATATAATGTGAATAATGCAGTGACTGTGTAGGTTAATATGCTCAAGTTATTTACCTCTTTCAGATGGTTTAAGGTGAACCTTCTTGAGGGGGCGGTGGAGGGGGGGGAGGGATGACTAACCCAGTGACCACAGACCAATCTCCCCAGGGCGGGAGAGAAACCAGGGATAACAATGACTTAGACCAGATGAAAATAAACAGCGTGGGGTTGCCTCCTGTGTTCTATAATTAAGCTTATAGAGGATGACTGCCTAGGGATGCGTTGACTGCTGTGAACATGGAGGCTTCCTATTTCTCACTGGAACAGGGACCTTGTGGAGAAGTGTTTCCCGGCATTGGGTCCAGGCAGGAATAAGTGCAAAAGTTGTTGTAAAGCTCCCGCCTTGGCCTTCTGGAATATAGTTCCTGGGGCTTGGAGGGTGGCAGTAAAGTGATGTGTTGGTTTTGTGTTTCAGGACATCAGCCTCAGGCTTTTCTGAAAAAACCAACCACCCTGCTCCTACATTCACACCTTTCATCTCCCTCCCCTCCAGGACACATTGGATACTTTAGAAGTTCTCCCCCACAATTTTAGACTGTCAAAGGCCACAGGAAGCTGTCTGTGTTCCTCATGCAGCCCGTGACCCTCTGTGGGTCTGCCGCCCGAGGGGAAAGCCATGGGCTGCCTGGTCCTGTGCCCGCTCTCCCTCCGATCCCATGGGCCCATGGGGAAAGGAAAGCAAGCTGAGAGGAGCTCAGAGGCCAAAACCCAGCAGCACCGTGATCCCCGAGGACCTTCGCTGGGCTGGCTGCGTTTGGCTGGGTTGACCGTCCTCGTGGCCAAAAAAGAGTGAAGCATGTAATGAGTCAACTGGGACAGATGGAGCTTCCTGGGACTGAATGTCATCAGCGGGCACAGACCTCTGTCTGGCTTTCATGTGAGAGACTTTAAGTCCCCTGGGTTAGGCACAGCTGTCCATTAGGTCCTTGGAGCATCTCTCATTCCCCTCTGAGACATGGGCTACTTAAGGATAGTTTGGAAAAGTAAATCTAAGTACAGTAAGTTCTCACTTAACATCTTCAATGGGTTCTGTGACTTTAAGAGAAATGATGTATTAAGGAAACCAATTTTACTGTAGGCTAATTGGTATCAACAAGACTCAAGTTCCTCATCGGTGATTTAACAAAATGTCATTGAAACACAGACTTCAAGGATCTGCGGTATGCACCCCATTCTTCCTGGTACCTATGTGGATCTCCGTGGACTTCTTTGTGGGACCCGCCTGCTCACATGGACTCTACAGGATGCTCTTGGTTTCATGTGGGGCAAATGGACCTTGACCTCTTTGGGAGCCAGGTCTGCGCAAATTCGCACTGAGTGTGAGTTGAGACCAAACTCTGCCTCCTTTTTTATCAGCGGCAGGAAAGGAGGCCAGGCTCACCTGCCAGGTGCCGGATGGTCTTCTTACAGTATTCTTCAGCCAGTGGGACCGTCTTCATCATGTCTCTCCCCCACTGCTCCAGCGGCTTGCCTTGTATGGCATAAGATGCGAATAGGGCTGTGCACAGGGCTCCTAGGAAGCCTGCAGGGCGGAGGGGAGAGGACAACAATGGCACCGGAGCCACGCCCCTGCTCTGGGATGCTGGGTGTGTGCTAACAGAGGTAGGATCATGGGCAGTGGCTTCATGCATTTGGACCTTTATGACCTTTTGTTTCCTCTCAGCACAAAAAGGCACAGTACCCATCCTTCAAGGGCTTGTGGGGCAGATGATTCTAATCACAAACGAGTGCTTGCCAGCTTGTAGTGATGGCCACACCAAGACTGTGCCCATCAGAGGAAGGGCACAGCCATCTTTTTGTTTTTCTTATTGATTTCAGAGAGGAAGGGAGAGAGACACACACACACACAGAAACATCAATGATAAGAGAGAATCACCGATCGGCTGCCTCCTGCACGCCCCCCGCTGAGGATCGAGCCCACAACCCAGGCATGTGCCCTTGACTGGAATTGAACCTGGGACTCTTTCAGCCTGCAGGTCGGCACTCTGTCCACTGAGCCAAACCAGCCAGGGCAGGGCACTGCCATCTTGCTGAGACACTCTTGGTGGCTCTTTGGCGACTCCTCGAGGCATCAGTTAGGGATCGTTTCAAGGGCAGGGGATAAGCATCTCATCCTCAAACCCAGGGTTCAATTACTGTCCTGCCATCTCTCCCCCTTTTCTCATGGAGTGTTTCAGCTTCCATCTGGGATAATGCACACTGTAACAGAAATTCTGACACTTGCTGTCAAAGGTGGTTCAAAAATTGAAAAGGAGCCCCAGCTGGTTAGGCTACATGTTAGAGCATTGGCTCAAGGACTAAAGAGTCCCGGGTTTGATTCAGGCATGTACTTTGGTTGCAGGCTTGATCCCTGCCCCAGTCAGGGCCTGGGGTGAGTGCAGAAGGCAACCAATTGATGTTTCTCACATCAAAGATCTTCTCTCTATCTGTCTCTCCCCTTCTCTTCTACTCTCTCTAAAAAACAAACAAACAAAAAATCAATGAAAAAAATGTCCTCTGGTATGGATTAACACAAAAAAATTGTAAAGGAGAGTGGACTTAATTGAGAAGGAGAAAGCACATTTAAGTGTTAATTGAGTACAATCAACCCTTTAAAACATTTTCAGTCATCATTCTAGAAATACATAAATGAATTCGTTATTAAACATGGAAAACAACATTTCTTTAATAAGATTGGGTAACATATTAGCCAATGTTTTAGGTGTTTAAATTCTCAACCCAGATTCTTTTTTTGGATACAATTTTAAATTTAATTTTACTTGAATTTCACAAAAGAAAAAGAAAGAGAAATTGATAGAATTATTGAATTAATATAAATATTTCCTCTAGACAAGAAATGTTTCCCCTAAAATGTCCCTTCAAGATTAAAAGAAAGAAACTGAGAACATTAGAGGTTGAAGTCATTATGATTTTTCCCAAGGACATATTTCCCTTTTTGTGTGTAGACTGACTTCTTGCTGTGAAAGATGAGTTCGTTGGCCCAGCCACATGAACACGCAGTTCTGAAAATATTGAGCCCTTCTGTACCAGTTAGTAAATATCAGCCACTCACTCTGCCCAGGGCTCTCCCCTCTCCTGGCTGCCCCACCCACCACCAGGACCAATCCCAACCCCCATCTCCCCGACCAGAGCTACAAGGAAAAGGGGACTCTGGTCCCGGCTCCCAGGTGCCTCCAATACCCACCACTTCACCCAAGCAGCTTAGTTTCCATCTGTTTTACATAACGGCTGTCAGGTAAGCTTTGTTTCCTGAAAGTATTCAGTGGGAAAACTCCTGCTCAAGGTCAGCCCTCGGGCCCTTGAAGTTTGCACAGTCCCGGGATTTCTGAGAGTGGAGGAGGCCTTTCTCCCAAACACACTAGCTCCTTAGGAAGCCAAGTGCACGTCTGCATCCTGATGTAATTACCGTGCTTCCAAATGGGCAACAGACACAGGCCTGTGGGTGTAGAGACTGCCCCTGAGCCGGCCCCAAATCGGATGAGGCAGAAGGTGCTGGAGCCCAGGCTTGAGCGGAGGCGGCAGGAAGGGAGTGGGCTTTGCTCCGTGCCCAGCCCCGAGCCAGGCGCTCACGGTCCAGATCCCCTCCAATCCTGTGAGAGGTGTTTCTTTGCTCCCTTCCCTCCCTCCCTCCCTTCCTTCCGGATTTACTGAGCACCTGTCTGTGCCAGGAGCTGGGGTACAAAGGCAAAGCTAGCATCCCAAGACCTCACCGCCCCGTGAGAGCATCATCCAGAAAGCGGCTGGGACTGGGGTGGGTGCAGGATGCAGGGGGAGCCCCAGGCGACTCAGGGAAGCCGAGTGAAAGCCGAGCTGGGATTTGAAGGATGAGGTAGGGCATCCCAGTGGAGGGAACTGCATGTGCGAAGGCAGGGAGGCAGAAAACAGTCTGCCTGGTCTGGCAACTGTGGGAGGGTGAGGGAGCCCAGGTCCAGGAAATCTGCTGGGTGAGGTTGGGGGCCCAGAACCCACACCTGGACCCTCTGCCTCCTTGGCCTCCTTTGCTCCCGGCTGCCTGGGGAGGAACCTGCTCCTGGCAGCTGGGGGAGCCACCTGTGAGCAGGCATGAGTTGGGGAGGCATGGACTGGGGATAGTGGCCTCAGTTTTGGCATCTAGAATATGTGCAGGACAACCCAGATGCTGGCTTCTGTCAACCCAGGTGCTCCAAGAAGCAGAGGCCCAGGCTGGACTCATTAGGGGGAAGGCCAGGGAGGGAAGGACAGGGCTGGGGAGGACCCTGTCTCATCCTGCAGCTGGGGGCTCAGCAGGGCAGCGAGGAGTCCCTGAGCCATGTAGCCTGCACTTCCCACCAAGCAGCCTGCCTGCTGTGCCCACTGCATTGTCACTGCCGAGGAGTCCTTAGAGGAGGGAGGCAGGGCCGAGCACAGACACAGGGATGAACCTCTCTGTGAGGCCTACAGAGAAAGGTCTAAGGGGTTTCCCTTGCCAGAGCACAGGGCTCTGCTGTCCCCAGAACTGGTTAAAGCCCCACAAGGAGGGGTCTACTTTCTGGGGCTGCTGCTCCCATGACTACAGACTGGCCTAAACCAACAGGAACATGTGCTTTCCCCGTTCTGGGGCCAGAATCTGAAACCAGGGTGTCTGGGGCTGAGCTGCCTTGGAGGGAGGGTCCAGGGGAGCGTCCTTCCTACCTCTTCAGCTTCTGGAGGCTCCTGGCTGCATCCCTTCGTCTTCACGTGGCCCCTCCTGTATCCTCACGTGATTTCTCCCACGCACGTCCCCACCACCTTGTTCACATGCCCATTCTTGCATGATCACGTGGCCCCAACCCCTTGTTCATGTGCCCACTTCTGGCTGATCATGCAGCCCTGTCCCCTTGTCCATGTGACCACTTCTGGTCGATCATGTGACCCCACCCACTTGTCCACTTGTCTATGCTTGTGAATTCATGTGACCCCATTCCCTGGAGACCTGAGATGGGTCTCTGTTTCAGGGGTGCCAACCTCCCTGGTTGGCTGTCTGCCCTGCTCTCACACCTGTCAACAGTCCCTTTGCCAAAGTCCTTCCCGAAAATCGTTTGAGTGTGCCATCTCTTTCCTCCTGGGACTGTGACAGCTGGGATTGAGGAGACAGGAGAGCAGTGGCTTGTCCAGAGTCCATGCATGAGGTCCAGAGGGGCCTGTGCAGTCCCTGGAAGGCTGGGGGAGGGGAGGGTGCTGAGGTGGGGTGCTGACTAGAGAGTGGAACACACAAGCGGGGTACATACACAATCACCCCACACACCTGTGAGAAGCAGCTGCAGCCCTTTGTACAGGTGAGGAGGCTACTGCAGCACAGAGAAGGCGAGCAACTTCCTCGAGGGCACACAGCAGTGAAAGGGCAGAGCTAAAAATGGAACCCTGGGCTGCCCACAGCCTGTATCTCCTTTACCTGTGACCTCTTGGTTAACGGCCCCTCATTTGCTCTGATGGGCTTCACCTTTCCCCCACCTTCCTCCATCCCCAGCGGACAGGGGTCCTGTCATTGCACCAGTGCCTCTGGGTGTCTGCTCTTTGTCCCGCGGTCCCTCCCATCTCCTGGAATGCCCTGAGCACAGAGTCTGTGCTGACATCCTACCCCTGGATGGCCCGCCTGCGCAGTGCGGCCACCAGAGGGGAGTCCAGAGGTAACCTTGGCGGAGTCCCGCTACATTGGGGTGAAGGCCTTGTGTGGCAAACACTCTCCCCTCCCCTCCCCATCTGTGGCTTAGATTACAAAGTATCTTTATTTTTCCTGTGCCTGGCTTCCGCCACCTGCCTCCCCTGGCAGATTTTGTTTTATCTGGAAAAGAAATTGTTTCAGGCGCTGCAAACCGGCTGACTCCCTGCATTCGCTCTGTGAGACGTGGCTCTGCCCCCCAGTGCTGCCTGGTCCAAGTCTCCGATGCCACCCAACCTCCGTGGCAGCCTCTCTCATTCCCTAGTTCTCAAACCCAGGGTTCAATCACAGCATTTCTCACCAGGGCACAGCACCCTCAGCGCTCCCCTGCAGCTCCAGGGGCCTGCTGAGCCCGGGGCCCCCACCGGTCACTAGTCCCCCAGATCCTGCCTGCAGCCCTAGGGTCCTCAAACCAGTTTGGGAGGGACTGGTGGGTTGACCCCTTAAACAGAGGGGGTGCAGACACCAGGTGGGCACCCCACCCCTCCTGCCCTCACCTCCACCCGATCTGGAATGCCCTGAGCACCGAGTCTGTGCTGACATCCTACCCCTGGGGGGCTAGGCCTGCGCGGTGCGGCCACCAGGGGGGACCTGTCTGCAGAGTGGCTTCCCCGGGCAGCTGGCCCCCCACCTGGCCCCACAGCCATCCTCCAGCCTCCCACTTTCCCCTTCTAAGGGGAATAGGGTGTCAACCCAGATTCTTGTACTCAGCATATTGTTTCCACATGCTCAACATTTTCACGTGTGAAGGTTTTTTAACGTTTAACTTACTTAACTTAGTTACCAGATGCCCAGCGTTAACTCCTTTTCAATCATCCCAGATGTTGCCAACTGGCTGAATGATAGGCCTTTCCGTGTAAACTTTAAAGGTCTAAGAAACTTATCTGTAGACGTTACGGCTTAGCCTGTCACTGCCTTTGGTGAACGCATTGGCATGTTTTGCCACATCCACTCAGCAGGGGTCACATCGCCCACTGCAGTCACACCCACGAAAGAGTACTTTCCAGAAAGACACGGAATAGCCCTTCAAGGTGACCTTGCAAAAGGACTACAGTCACCGGAGAGCAGCTGGCAGCCTCAGGACTTCTGTGGGGTGCGTCTGGGGCATACAAGAGTTTCAAGCCATTCTTCTTCTTCCCCTCCTCCTCCTCCTCCTCCTCCTCCTCCTCCTCCTCTTCCTTCTTCTTCACCAGGAGCTGATTGCTTTCTTTCTTTCTTTTTATAAAATATATTTTATTGACTTTTTACAGAGAGGAAGGGAGAGGGATAGAAAGCTAGAAACGTCAATGAGAGAGAAACATCGACCAGCTGCCTCCTGCACACCCTCCACCAGGGATGTGCCCGCAACCAATGTACATGCCCTTGGCCGGAATCGAACTCGGGACCCTTCAGTCCACAGACCAACACTCTATCCACTGAGCCAAACCAGTTTCCGCAAGCTGATTGCTTTCTAATCACATCACACAGTCAGGCTCCGGGGCTGCCCCACCTGCCCTCCCTCTGTGTGATGGACAGGTGGTGGGGGATCCCAGCACACAGCTGGCCCCACTGTGCACACCATGCCATGAGCATGTGTGGAGGATGAAGTGAGTAGAATAGTAAAACCTCCTAGCCCCACAATCATTCCTGTTGCAGGTGAGGAAACAGGCACAGGTCATTAAGTGACTCGGTCCAGCTGACATTAAGTGATTCGGTCCAGTGGGCCTTGGACCCGGAGGGGCAGGTCGTGGCAGCGAAGGACGCCTGCTGACTGGGCTGGCTTCTGTCCTGACAGCAGAACATAAACAATAGCTCTCAGGACTCCAACCCAGATCTCAGGTGTCAGCTCTTTTACGTTGAAAACAGAATTTCAGCAGAACTGAAGATGTAAAAACCCAAGTCTGCCAACAAATAGCAAACCAAGTAGTGGATGGCACCACCTAAGGTTCCTGCCTCGTCCACTGCTGGACTGAGAAGGACACAGCAGGCACCTGCCCTGACGCCAGTGTTACCTGTGGGGTGGTTGTGCGTCATCCTGCCGCACTCGATGCTGACTTCAATCAGGGTCTCCAGCCGCTCGGGCTTCCAGTACCGCATGCCGATGCACATCGCTTTGGTGGCAGCTCCAAACCCAGAACCTGCATGGACCACGAAATACCTCATTGTAGACGTTTGCTCCAATAATTCCACTTCAGGCAATCTGGTTTTCATAAATAATCTCAAAAAATGCATAAAAATTGATGTAATGACATGTTTATGATAGTGTCATTTGGATGAGTGAAAAATAAACACATCATCCAAAAGCCTGACAAAGAAGAGATTGAATAAATTGCAAAGCATCCATGTGTTGGAATGTTATTTAGTCATTAAAAACAGAATTTTTGATGGCATGGGGAAAAGTGCTCATACTGTGCTTCTACTGGGGACAATGCAGAAGACAGAATTGTGTACACAGTGTGCTTTCAATTACATATATTCCCTCTTTTCAAAAACAACTTCATGGGTTATAATGGACACATAACCAACTGCATGTATTTGGAGTATGCAAGTTGATGGTTTTTGACATATCATATACCCATGAAACCAGCTCCTTAAAAAAATGAACTTATCCATCACCCCCAAAAGTTTTCCCTGTACCTCCTGCCATGCCCATCAACCACTGATCTGGCACTACAAATTAGTTTTTATTTTCTAGAAATTTATATAAACAGGATCATACAGAGTGTACTCTTTTTTCCTGACTTTTTTCACTCAGCGTAACTACTTTGAGATATACCACTGATGTATATTAATAGCTGGCTCCCTTTTGTTACTGAGTAGAACTCCGCAGTATGGATGTACCACAACTGATCTATCCATTACCTGTGGATGAACATTTGGATTGTTCCCAGTTTGAGGCTATTACAGATAAGATGCTATGAATATTCATAACCAGATCTTCATGTGGACATATGCTTTACCTCCGAGTGAAGCATGTTGCTCACATGGTAGATGAATATGTAACTTTTTAGAAACTGACAAACAGGTTTCCAAAGTGGATGTCCCATTCTACATCCCATCAGCAGCTCCTCCACGTCTTTGACCACATTTGCTATGGTCAACCTTTAACCTCAGCCATTCTCTTAGGTATGCAGTAGTTTCTCATTGTGGTTTGAATTTGCATTTTTGTAATGGCTAAGGATGTTGAGCGTGTTTTCACCCACTTATTTGCCATCCATATCTCCTCTTTGGTGAAGTGTTCATGTAAATAGTTCTCCCATGTTTGTACTGTATTGCTTGCTTTCTTGTTATTAGGTCTAGTAATAATTAATGTCGTTTTCTAATACTTTTTAAAGTCGAATTTATTTAAACAATACAACAAAATTTAATCAACAATATAGTTGCCGTTGTTTTCTACTACTTGTGCCCAATGCTCAGGAAGCATTTTAATCCCTCTGTTGTAAAATTCTTGTGATTTTGAAGCAAAAAATTCGGTCAATGCATTTTTGAGGCATTCTTCATTATTAAATTTTTTTCCAAGAAGAAAGTTTTGCAAAGAACGAAACAAATGGTAATCGGAAGGGGCAATATCAGGAGAATATGCAGGTTGAGGGAGAACTTCCCATTCCAACTGGCGCAGTTTTTCAGCAGTGATTCTTGCAGTGTGCAGTCGTGCGTTATTGTGGTGAAGAATTATGCCCTTCCGATTAATCAGCGCGGGTTCTTTTTCTCTTAAAGCTTGGACTAACCTTTCCAATTGGGCACTATACACTGCACTTGTAATGGTTTGGTTAGATGGTAAAAGTTCATAATGAAGAATTCCTTTAAAATTCCACCAAACACACAACATCACTTTTTTCGCATGCAAGTCAGGTTTTGGCGTGGGCTGCGGAGCCTCATTTTTGTCCAACCATTGAGGCCGCCTTTTCAAATTAACATACAGCACCCATTGTTCATCTCCAGTAACAATTTGCTCTAAAAACAGCAAACGGTTTTGACGAGAGAGGAGAGAACTGCAAATTGTGACTCTTTGATTACGGTGGTTGTCGGTCAACTCATGAGGAACCCATTTTCCAAACTTTTGGACTTTGTCAAGTGCACGCAATTGATTGGAAATTGTTTTTTGTGAACAATTTAAAGTTGTCGCAAGCTCTTGTTGGGTAATTTGAGGATTTTGCACCAAAAGAGCTTGAAGAGCTTCTTGATCAAAATTGGACGCACGGCCTCGACCACTCTTGTCATCTAACGAAAAATTTCCCTCACGAAATTTCTCAAACCAACGCTGGCATTTTCTGGCGCTAACTGCATCTTGACCAAGAGCACTACAGATGTTTTTTGCAGCCTCACTTGCTTTTCTTCCTAATTGGAACTCGTAAAGCATGCAGTGCCGAATATGCTCTTCATCCGCCATCTTCTTAGCCCTAGTTTTGCAACAAAAACCAAACCAAACACAAACTTTTTCAAGCAAAACTTGTTAATTGCACTTCACACGTTCTGTAGATACCACGTGTTTGAAGGTTATGTCAATACAAGTCAACGCCAAGCAAGATTTTAAACGAATGTTTTAAAACGACATTAATTATTACTAGACCCGATATTTTAAAGACTTCTTTATACACTCTAGATTGAAATCTTTTGTTAGATATATGCTTTGCAAATATTTCTTCCCAATATGTGGCTTGCCTTCTCATTCTTTAAAAAAAATTTTTTTATTGATTTCAGAGAGAAAAGGAAGAGAGAGAGAGAGAGAGAGAGAGAGGTATCAACGATGAGAAAGAATCATTGATCAGCTGCCTCCTGCATGTCCCCTGCTGGGGACAGAGTCTGCAATCCAGGTGTGTGCCCTGATAGGGTTGAACCATGACCTCCTGGTTCATAGTTAAAGCTCAACCACTGAGCCACATCAGTTGGGCAGCTTTTCATTAAAAAAAAATTTTTTTTGCATATTAGGCTTTTATTATACAATATTTGCTGTTGTAAGAAGATATAGTACTTATAATGATTACTTAAAATGGATCCAGCTAAAACAGATTGTGTTGTAAATTTGCAAATATTAATAAAAACATTTGTTAACCTTAATTTTATTTTATTCATGTTTCCAGGTGAACACAACATAGAGTTAGACACATTTATTAAAGTTGTATGCAGCTGGGTATTTGCTGGTTCTCCATTTTCAGGTTTAGTTTAGAACTGCATTTCTTTTCATTTTATCTCAGAAACAGGTATAATATAGAAGCCTTTCATTCTTTTAACAGACTCTTCTGAGGAGCAGAAGAATGAGTTTTGGAAGTATCTGTCTTCTTCAGTTTCCTCGAAGAGTTGTGTACATGGTATTACTTCCTTTTTAGCAGCTTGGTAGAACTCCTCAGTGAGGAATGTGGATCTGGAGCTTTCTTTGTAATGTTTTTCACAGATATAATATAATTTAGGTGGTTATTTACTCTCAAGTCCCCTTTGGTAGTTTGTCTCTTTAAGTGAATGTGTCCCTTTCATCTAGTTTGTTAAATTTACCAGCATAAAAATCTTCATAATATTTCCTTGTTCCCCTTTTAGTGAATGGTGAAAGCTTTATATGATCTGAAGAGAACTCCTTTTTCCCCCTTTTAATTTCTGTAGAAACTGTAGTGATGTCACTTTTTTCATTGTTGATATTGGTCATTTGTGTCTTTTTGTTTTTGCCTGATCATCTGCCTAGAGGATTATCAATTTTTTATCTTAAAAGAATCAGCTTATGTGGAGTTTCTCTGTTGTTTTTCTATGTTTTCTAGGTCATGGATTTTCACCCATCTTCATTGTCTCCTTTCTTCTGTTTTCTTTGGGTTTAATTTGCTCTTCTTTTTTTAGTTCCTTAAGGTGAAAATGGAAGTCACTGATTTAAAACCTTAACATTAAAATCTCTGCCTATAATTGTGGCTTTATCTATTTCTCCCTGCAGTTCTTAGTTTTTTGCTTTGTATACTTTGAAGGTTTGTTATTAGGTACATAAGCATTTATGTTGGTTACATCTTCCTGATGAATGGATGCATTTGTCATGATGAAATCCACTCCCACACACAATATTCTTTGCTACAAAACTTACTTTATGCATTATTAATAGAATCACTCCAGCTTTCCTTTAAATAATGTTACATGGTATATCTTTTTCCATCTATACTATGTGTGTCTTTACATTTAAAGTGCATTATTTTATAAGCATAATAGAGTTGGGACTTACTTCTTTATCCCCTCTGAATCTCTGCCTTTTATTTGGGGTCTTAAGAACACTTATATTTGATGTGATTAGTGGTATGGTTAGGTTTAAGTCTATCATCTTGTTATTTATTTTCAACTTTCCCCATCTATTATTTGTACCCCTTTTCTCTCTTTTTCTGCATTTTTTTGTATTGAATATTGAAATATTGAAAAGAGAGAAAAGTTATCTCTTTTTCTGCATTTTTTTTTGTTTGTATTGAATATTATGATGATTCCGCCGAGACCGGTTTGGCTCAATGGATAGAGCGTCGGCTTGGGGATGGTCAAGGGCATGTACCTTGGTTGCGGGCATATCCCCAGTGGAGGTGTGCAAGAGGCAGCTGATCGATGACTCTCTCTCATCGATGTTTCTAACTCTCTGTCTCTCTCCCTTCCTCTCTGTACAAAATCAATAAAATATATTTTTTTAAAAAAGAAGAAAAAAAAAGAATATTATGACGATTCCCCTACCAATCCCAGTTAAAGATTACCACTGTGTGGAGGATGGTAAAGACAGTGTCACCACTACAAGGAAAAGCCTATAGACCTACTCCTACTGTGCCGTCAATGGGTTCAGAGTCACCAAAGAGGACTCAACACATGGGCCTAGGTTGGAACAGAAAGGAGAAGACACGCAGCAAGACCCGAATTGTAGCACGCTGTGTCTCCCAGACTGGGGGTTCCTCCTGAAGCCAAAGCAGGGCAGTGGACCGCATGCACCCTCACTCTGCAGGTGAAACCTCATTCTCTCCCCACAGGGCAGATGTACTGGTGGGGCTGGTTGAGTGCCATATGATGCTCACTCCTAAGCAATACAGGCCATTCCCTGTGAGCCCAAACAAGAAAGACTTCTCTTATTAAGGAAAAGAATTTGAGTTGACTGACAGCTCTACAGCTGGTCTCCTGGTCAAGGGTACTGACTGGGCAAGCCAAGGAATGGCAGGGGCCTCGCGATTTCTGCTTCCCCAGCAAATACTGTTAAAATGGTTCCATTTCACCTCTTGTGTTGGCTCACTAGTTATAACTATTTTGTTCTTTTGGTGGTTGCTTTGGGCTCATAGTCTAGATCAGCAGTTGCCAACCGGTGGTCCATAGACCACTGGTGGTCTGTGAGGTCCAAAAGATTGGTGACTGCTGTTTTAGATTTTTAACCTAGAACAGTCTGCCTTCGTGTGATTTGGTACCACTTCACGCCTTCTATAAGAACCTTAGGCTGCACACCTCCATCTCTTTCCTCCCTGCCTTTGTGCTGTTGGGCCATGTGTTTGCTTATACATAATTTATAAACCTTGAGTACCTTGTTATTACTTGTTAACGTCCATTCTCTTTTAAATTAATTGAAATAACAAGTTAAGTAATCGTAAGTATTTACCCATGTGGTGAATGTTTCCATCAGTCCCATGCCTTTGTGTGGATCCCTATTTCCATACTGTTTTTTGTTCTCTTTTGCTTGAGTGACTTCATTAGCATTCTGGCAGTGTGACTGGTAGTGATGATTTCTTCAGCTTTTATTTACCTGGAAAAGGCCAGTAGGGCTTGGTTCTGAAAGATAGTTTTTCTGGGTATAGGATTCTAGGTTGAAGTTGTTTCTTTTCACACCTTAACGATGCTGCTTGATTATCTCCTCTCTTATGTTGCTGCTGTTGTCCTCACCTTGACTATACACTAGTATATAGGATGTGCGTCTTTCTCTTGTTCATCAGTTTTGAGCAGTTTGACCACGATATGCCTGGTTGTGGTTTTCTTCGTATCTCTTTGTATTTGCTTGGAGTTTATTGAGTTTCTTGGATCTATGAGTTTACAGTTTCATTAAATTTGAAAATATTTGGTCACTGTTTTTCCAAATCTTTTTCATTTGTTCCCCTTCTCTCTGCAAAGGATTCCAGTTTCAGGTGTGTTCGGTTGCTTAAGTTGTGCCATGGCTCACTAAGTGTCCTTTTCTTATTTTCAGGTTCTTTTTTCTCTGCCTGTCCCAATTTGGATAGTTTCCTCAAACTCACTAATCGTTTCCTCTGAAATGTCTAAACTGTTCATCTCGACCAATGTGTTTTTAAATTCAGACATTGCAGTGTTTTTCTCTAGAAGTGTAATTTAGGTCTTTTATTATACCTCCTAGTGTCTACCTAACTTTTTATATCCTTGTCGGATAAGTCCAATGCTGTGAGGTTTCATCAAGTTTAATGTATTGATTTTTCTCTTTTTAATTGGCTTTATTTGATTGGATGCCATCCTTTAAGGTAAAGGATTGCATCCTACCTTCTGTATAAACCCAGGTCCCACCTTCAATATAAACCCAGAAGGCCAGGTCCAGAACCCCAGGAGCTGAGACCCTCGAGGCAGATTGTGGCTACCTAAATACATCACCCATAAACATGTGACATCTTCATGAAGTCAGACATTTCTGCAGGTGGTGTATGCTTTCCTTGATGTTTTAGCAAGAAAAAATTTTTTTTTACAAACTTAACGAGAAACCAGTGGCAAATATTTCTTAAAATAAACCAGGGATGGATGACAAAACTGCCGGGGAAGCTGGCGTCCTCTAAATAGACGCCCATGCTGCAAGCTGGCTCCCCAGGCGGCACGCTGCCCTGCAAATCCTGGCAAATCCCTCTCCACCCGCACAAAGCTGCCGGGCGACCAGCTAGAAGGAAGACAGATGGCAGTGCCTGGGGTGGTTCTCTAGCTCGAGGCTTTAGAGGCAGAAGCAAGCCTTCCCTCACCCTTCTCGTTGAAAGGCGTGTGCCAGGCCAGGAGGTAGTTATCCGGCTTCAGCGCCGAGCAGCCGTCAAGGGTAGCGGGGTCTGCTCGATGTTCTGGAAGCTTCTCGAGCACTTCCACGTAGTGCTTTACCATCTCCCGGTACAGGTCATCCAGGCACCAGTAGTCTGGGGGAGGAAGGGGAAGCGGGGGAGTCAGAGTGAGTGGGAGACACATCTGCCGGGTAAACCCCCACATAGCAGTGACAATAGAAGGGCAGTCAGTCGGTGGAAGAGGAGGGAGATTTTAGTGACCCATCTCACACTGTCCGGGCTACCCAGACAAATAATTCGCTTTAGAGTTCACCAGAATTCAGACATCCTAGTTTGTGGTTGTGCTTATTATTCCAGTTACACACAGGACCCTAGAAAAAACCAAGATGCCCATATGCTAACAACTCACATGAGGAAAAGCTAGACCGACATCTGCCGGTTCCTTGGGGTTTGTAGGACCCACGTTGAACACACCGGGAGCGAGTCTCTCCCATCTTCAGTTCCCTTCTTCTCACACCCATGAAGCAGCCAGTGCTCCCCAGGCACTGTCCCAAACTGCACCCCGCTGCGTGAAGGCGTTCTGGGAACCAGTGTGGCCTCAGACCCTGGAAGATCACAGGGTAGGAGGACAGAGGGGCCAGCACACACAGATCGCCTGCTGTCTGTTCCGCAGGTCACCTTCGATGTCCCCATACTGTCCTCCAGGACCCTGTTAGACTCCTACTTCACACCAAGCATGTCAAACTCGAGGTCTACAGGCCGCATGCAGCCCAGCCAATATAACAGTATGTAGGAAACGTTTAAATAGAAAATCTGTGATTAATTTTGTATTAATTTTTACAATTTTCTGTTATACATAATTATTAGTAACAAACTACAACATGTGATAATGACTGATTACTATAATCTGGTTGCATTCGTTTCCCTTATGTGTCTTATGCACAGGCGCACCATTTCTATCCACTAATACCGTGTTTCCCCGAAAATAAGACATCCTCGGAAAATAAGACCTAGCGCATGGAAAGATAAGATATCCCCTGAAAATAAGACCTAGCGCAACTTTGGGAGAAAAAAAATTAATATAAGACACTGTCTTATTTTCGGGGAAACAGGGGTACTAGCAGCGAACATTTCAGTAGTCGATTGCCACCTCATTAGTCTTGTACTGACTTGTTTGGTGTGCGCAACAGGAAATATTTCGCTTTTGGAAAACAAGAAAAATAGGCTTATTTGTGTTACGCTTATTAATTTGTGCAGTTTATTCAGTGTCTGGTAAGTTAATGTCCAAGAAAAAAAATTAATTTTTATTAAAATGTTCTATTATTTTATGTTAATGATAACTCACTTATTTCAGCTGTTTGTATTCAGCATTTCTCTATTGAAATAAACCTACGGTTTCTGTGAAAATTGAAGCTTTAGTTTCTTTGGAGCCCACATAAGCTTAAATCTTGTTTATTTGGCCTTTGAGTTTGATATGCGTGGGTCACACTGTTCTTCTTCCAGATAAGGTGCTGGGAGGTGATGTGACTTGCCCAAGGCCAGGGCTGGTAAATGGGTTTCGATTGCAAAGCCTGAGCATTTCCGCCACTACATTAACCCACAGCACGGAGGGTTGGTCACGTGGGAGAGCAGGCCCTGGGGGTCAGTGGATGGGTTGCAATGCCAGGTGTGGCAGGCAGGTATGGGGTGCCCGTGCCCATGTGTCTCTTACAGCCTCCACAAATTCGCCTGTGCTACAACAGCATGTGGGCTGATATCAGGAGCCAGCTACTGCCCCGCCTGTCTGTGGGGGTGGATTTCCCATCTCTGGTGGCTGGTGGGGGAGGGGGAGAGAGACTAAATAAGGACATGAAAACCCATGGCCATTTCCCGGGGTCCAACCAGATCCTCATCAGGCCACCTCAGAGCCAGGGCCCAGCCCAGAGGGCGAGCAATATCAGAAGTGCTCTTGGCAAAACAAAATCCTCCCTGGTCCAGGACAAAGCCTCAGGCCTGGCAGTGGCCATGGCAGATGGTACCCCGATTCCTAGAGTTGTGACCCGTTGGGGGTGGGACCTGGGGAAAGAGTGGCTCTGAGTCCTTTGTTGCCATTCTCCAATCTCTTAACAGCAAGGGGAGGCCCAGGAGGCCCAGCCCACAGCTCTGATACTTGGCATTGACTCAGTCTTGAGTAGGGAACAGAGGGGATGCGGCCAGACCTTGGCTGGGGAGGACTGAGTTCTGCTGGTCACAACGCCGCTAGAATAAAATTAACCCCTGGCTGGAGGTGTGAGCCACTGGGATCGGTCCAGGCCCTGGAGCCAGCACTATCAGTTACAGACAGCCATTCGTAATTAACTCAATTCTGGATTAACTCAGGTCCAGCGTTAATAAGCCTGGCCCTTCCAGAGTTCTCCCAAATAATTCTTTTTTATTCTGGAATCGCATACCTTTTTAAGGAAAAATAATCCCTAAAAACAAAACGGCAAGTAAAAGCCGTGTGCTGGTTTCAGGCTAGAACTTAAAGTAGAAACAGATTTTTTCCCCAAAGCTGCAGAGCCTCAGACGCCCTGCCTGAGTTCCTCTACTTTTTGAAAACATGGATCCTCAACTCATTTCTTCTCTCTCTTACCCACCCAGTCTCCTAAAAGACAAACCAGCTTATAGCATCATCCGTAACTGATCTCACCATAAAGACAAGTCACAATACCAAATACCAGGTTCCTTGGAAAGAAAAATGACAACTTTTCAACATGTTGTACTTGGGGAGACATTGGTGGAGGAAGAGAAATCCGGAGCTGAGTCTGGACAGGCCTCATCTGCTCTTCCTTGGTGCAGGCCCCATATTTCCCTGGTGGTCATAGACCCACAGGTGGCACTTACTTGCTGCCGTCCCCAGTGGGCAAATGACGCCCACCCCCCCTCCCCCATTCTCCCTGCACCAACAGTGACAGGGCTACTTGGCTTGGCCACGACCGTTGGAGCTGCTGACCCTTAGACACATTGTAAAAATACCGACAGTAATTAATTGCCATGAGTCACCTTCCCATATAACCTAAGCTGACCCATTTAATCCTCACATAACCTATGACGAAGGTATTACCTCCAGAAGTAAGCTCAGAGAGGGGAAGCGGGTTTCTGACCAGTGAGTGATAGAGAACCAGGAGTGTCATGCTCCAGAGCTGCTCAAGGGGAGCCTCCATCCTTGGGTGAGGCCACAAGGGAGCAGCTCGTTGCTCATCAGCTGTGTATCCTGGGTTGCCTACCTACCTTGTGGAGGATTAGCTACGTCCTATATCTGGTCAGTATTTGCTTTAAATTCAACACTGCCCCTTTTAGAGACACACCCAAAAGCAGGACATCGCACAGGCTGCACCTGACCTTTCTCATCCCGTTCACGCTCCAGCACAGCAGTGGCTCATCAGACCACATGGCTACAAGGCTTATGGGCTTAAGGCACTTGTTAGCGAAACGTAAGTCTGCCAAGATGTAGTTCCACTTTGTGAACGTCTGCCTGTCTTCGGAAAACATGCTGGAAAACCACTGTTCACTGGGATCCTTGAAATATTTGCATGTCCGGTAGCCTCAGGTGGTCAGGACAGAGCTTCACCGAGAAGTTAGGCATTGGAGCCAGGTTGCTTGGGTTCCAATCCCTGACCTGACGCTCACTGGGCTATGTAGCATTGTGTCGGCTACTTAACCTGTCTGTGTATTGGTTCCCTCATCTGTAAAACTGTGAAAATAGCCCAGCCAGTGTGCTCAGTGGTGAGCGTCGACCTATGAACCAGGAGGTCATGCTTCAATTCCCGGTCAGGGCATATACCCCGTGTGGGACGTGCAGGAAGCAGCCAATTGATGATTCTCTCTCATCATTGATGTTTCTCTCTCCTGCTCCTTCGATGAGAGAGAATCATCCATCAGCCGCCTCTCACACCCCCCCACTGGGGATGTGCCCGCAACCAAAGTACATGCCCTTGACCCGAATTGAACCGGGGACCCTTCAGTCCGCAGGCCGATGCTCTATCCACTGAGCCAAACTGGTTTCAGCTAAAAATATGTTTTTTAAATGAGCTGTTTGAAAACTAAATGTAAATGAAATTTCAACATGGATTTCAACTGGGGGAAAAAAATGCTTGTTTGGGTTTTTGAAGGAGAACAATTCCAGGCAGCAGACTTCTCGAGCCAGAGGGTGCTGCCATGTACAGCAACTCCCCACTTCCCACGGCCGCTGGCTGTGATCACGTAGCGTGAACTCACCTTCCTCCTTAAAAGCAATGTCCCAAACATTCACAACCCTCTTAATTGCATACATTTCACGTGCAGGGTAAGTCAGGTCCTATTTCTGCCAACAGGACTTGACCCCATTTAACCTCAGAGAGCAGGTTACGGTCAGAGGTGCCCTGACCTGTCCCAGGTACCGTCCCAGGTACCGTCCCAGGGGTACCCCACAGGACAGAGACACACTGTGGATTCTGCCATTCACAAAAACTTACTGAAGGGCTCATGGAGATGAGGGCAAACACGAGAGGACATATGGACTGTGTGCACACAGCATCCGTCAGACACAAATGAAGGAAGCAAAGTTTAAGCGTAAGGACCAGCTGCGTGCGCCTGAAACAAGCCAGGCTTTTGTTTGGAAAGCCATGCTCTCCAACAGGTGCCCGGGGGTGGGCATTGTTGCGCTGGGTTGCTGGAATGCTACTGAGTACTGTTACACACCAAGCCCCTGGGATCTTTCTGAAAACAGAAGGCAGGCACCATTTGGATGCCACAGCTGCGTAGACTCAGAAAGACACTTCCCCGTTTTCAACACGCGGTGACACTTTATCTTATCAGCGGTGCTTTCTCTCGGCCCCTAGCTATTTAGGAACCGGTCACAGAGTAGATGGCATTCTTGTCCAATGACCACAACACTAAATCGAGCGTGCTCACAGCAGACCCAGGGAATGGTGAGGTGAGCTCATAACTGAGATTTCATTGACTCAACAGTCGCTCTGAGGTTTTAAGTTTGCGGCGACATACTAACAACACAGGGCTTTAAAGAGCAAATCACATGTAGAAAAATTGTGCTACGCGTTTATACACCTGAAACTTATCTGAAATTCATATAAAAACTTGTTGATCCTAAAATCAACCTGTTGTTTAAAGAATATTTCACTAAACTTTGTTTCCACATTCCCCCAAATTCAACCAGTTTTATAGCATATCCTTAGGGACATACTTACCGTATATATAAGCAACGAGCCAAGCTAAATCCTATTTTGGTAGCTGGTGTTTTAACCCTAGTTTAGTGGAATTCAGAACTAACCCCCAAACAATATTACCTTCATTTGTCCAAATTTCAACACTGGCGTATTACCTTATATTCTTTTGAAATAAATTCAGAAGAAAGCTTACTATCTGCTCAAAGAAAAGTTGAGCCCTCACCAGGAAAGCCCTAAAGCCAGATGGAATTGAATTGAATTCTGGAGACAGAGAGCTCTGCTTAGTAAACACTTTGCAAATAGAAAGCCATTGTCTGAGACCCCGACTCTGTAGATAAGCAGAGGAAAAATCATATTGTCATCCAAAAGACTGCACCAGAAACAGGATCCGTGGCACGCCCGGTTTGCAGAGGGACACGGGTGTATATTAAATTGCCACTTTTAGCAGCGGCATTGGGTGACACCACGGCTGAAAGGCCACTTCGCCTTCAAAGCTCCAGTGCTTATCACAAGAGCTCAGGTCCAGCGGACACGCTGAGGGGCAGGGGCCGGGGCCAGTGCCGAGCCTTACCTGTGGTGAGTGCCCTGGCCGTCGCCAGGTGCATGATGGTGTTGTCACTCACAGGCCACTTCTCCGGGGAGAGCACCAGGTGGTCCAGGCCCCCGAGTTTCTGCAGGTCCTCCTGGATCTTTGCGCCAGTGGCACTGTTCTCCTTGCGGGCGTTTCTGTAGCCCAGAGCGTCCCCGACACTCCCCAGCAGCATCGCAGCCTGAAACTTCTCCATTGCGAGTGGCTCCTCTGCCCGCCCACCAGCTGCTGAGCACGTCCAGCCTCTGTGGCTTCGCGGCGGGGGCGGCCCTCAGTCCACCCCCCTGACCTCCCTTCTGGCCATTGTGTCACTGTCAGGAGCCTCCTCAAATGGCCACGCGCTGCTTTCCTGTCTGCAGGTGGCACCAATGAGAAAACCTCTCTGGTCCCCGCAGCTCACAGCGCCTGCTGAAGAGCCACGTGGAAGTGTCAGCTTCCTTCAGTGTCTGGACAGACACTAGCCCTTTAACAGAGGAGCCTGCCGGCTTACCTAGAGCATCTAGGCAGCATCCAGAGCACCTCCAGGCGCTCTCTCACAGGCAGTGACTTTCCAGCAGTGAGTCTTCCATCCTTGAAGAAATGCACTCATTTCTAAATGCTTGAAAGTGTAATTGACACACCAGGAAATTCACTCTCATGTCCCAGGCACAGCCTGATGAGCTCATATAAAGGGACACTGCTGTGCATCACACCACAGACCAGCTTTAGGACACTTCTGTTACCCCCAAGTCCCAGTTGCCCCCCTCTGTTCCCCCGCATCCCATCCCCAGGCATCCACTTTCCTGCTTTCTGTCTCTATAGTTTTGCCTTTTCCAGAATTTTAAATAGAGTTACGCATTATGCAGCCTTGTGTGTCTGGTTTCTTTGACTTAGCATAATGGTGAGATTCATCCATCACGATCCCATTTTTTTGGGGGAAACTTTTTGGATTATAAAACGAGTTTCTGATAGGACACTGAGAAAATGCAAAGTGTATAGGACAAAGCACACCCGGCTCCATCCAGTGGGAAAGATCACAAAGTGTTCTCACAATTCAATGTTCAACAAAAGGCTCCAAATCACCAGGCTTCAGATGGCAATGCATGTGGGCACAGAGCAGAGCCTCGCCATGGCATCTGTGATGGTGCCATCAGCAGCGGGTACTTAAACACTCTGTCCATTCTCAAGAACGTTCAAAGATATGAAGAGGCCGGGGGAGGGGAGAGTGGTAGAGGGGGGGAGGTAGATGGGATGTCTAAACCAGGACTCTTAATTTGAAACAAGACGTTAGGAAAGCAGTCATTTCACTGTCCCAGGCCCTCGAGAGTGACCGCCCCTCTGGGACCGTCCCTAGGACCTGGGCACATCATATCAGAAGAGGGAGGGTTTCATACCTGGACCTCAGAAACACACCTGCTAAAAATGGAATTTCTTCCAACAATAAGAGGATTCCAGGATGCACTTAAATGAACACATAGCACGGTAACAGCCCATGTTAAAAAATGAGGTTCTAGAACATGATTCCAGCTACCACAGTTCTGAGAGATCCTGAAGCAAACAGTCCTTTAGAAGCCGGAACAGATGGCCCTAGGTTTCTGGGTATGCAGATTTCTTATCCACCAGGACCAGACAGACGACAGCAGTCCTGTTTTAGACAACTCCCACTGCAGGTAGACCAGCACCATTGGCAGGAACATTTATTGTTGAGGGCAGAGGTCTAGCCTGGGGTGAGATTCATTTGCCAGTTCTGAGGCCATGAAAACCTTTATCACAGCTGCTAGAAGGAACTCCATACTATGTGGCCTATGTCAGCAAATAGGAAGAGGTGAGATGAGTTCACTGATTTGTTTGTGCAACATTTACTGAGCCCCAACTGTATGGATGGAGCAACTAACAAAACAAAACAAAACAAAACAAAACAAAAAAATCGGCTGTGCCTCTAAAGCATATTACACTTAAACTGAGTGAAAGTAACACAACGGCATGTATCCATGTATCATGCCACCAGGACAAAAAAAAAGCAACATCTATTCCAAAAATTCTTGGCAGACACTGTAGGAAGGCACTAATAATATATAGTGCTAATTAAACCTATTATATTTGGTTAATTTGTGTCTTTTCAATATATCTATAGCTTGCATTTCAGTGTATTCTGGGTTATGTATGAGATCTGTAATTGTTCACATGAAAATCATATTAAGTGCCACTATGTGACACTTAAGAAAATCTAAATGACTGCAGCTGCCAATGTTGGGACACGACCATTTAACTAGGGTGGCAGGCTCGGCACAGTTGGGAATGTCCCTGTCACTGGGCTATGGAGGTGGCTTTCCTGTAGGTAGCCACCCCATGACTGATCAAGAGGCTGACATCTAGTGGTGAGTACTGGAACAACCGAGGGTAGAATTAAACGTAGACCACACCAGAGAAAATAATTTATTTTTAATGTTTCCAAAGTTCTCAGCACTTTCATGGCATGCATGACTTAAATGTATATCATAGGAGAAAAAGAAACCCACCATCTTTTGAAGACCCTCAGTCCGATTACTAATGTTTTGATAGCTACTGAGACCATAGAACATTTTTTCCTCATGTAACTTTAAATCTTAAGAATAAGTCTCTGAGCAGAACACTTAACATGTCAAGAATGCATGAAGCCTGAAGGATGCTTTATATGTTGTTGAAGTTTTTATTAAAGCTAGCTTTCATTATATAAAATAGATGCTCTCTGAGAATCACAGACTTACAGATAGAGCTGGCCTTGCTTTTTCTTTTACAGACATGGAAGTGGCAGCCGGAGAGAGATGGAGTGACTTACCTGGGCCCTGCACCTAATCATGGGTGGGTGACCCCAGCTTAGCCTGTGGTCTCCAGGATTCAGCCCCTTTTCCAATCCTCCACTGCCTGCTGCCCTCTTTGAAAGACTTCTATGCAAAAGTATAAATAGTTCACATAGAGTAAACCTTGTGTTGCACATGGGCACTTCCTAAAACACAGTGAACCACACTTTTGGAAGTCAAATCAAAATGACACATTTTGGGCACACCTTCTGTTCACAGGAAATCTGAGTGAATTTCCTGTCCTGAAATAACCCCAATTCACTTTCTCCTAAACCAGGTTGCGGGCCGGGCAGCAGGCACACTCTGGTGGAAGATCTTCTCAAGTAGGAGGTAGGATCCACTCAGTGATTTTTCAGAACTGCAGACAAAACGCCCATCTATCCCTGTGCCACGGACGGTCCTCTTTGACAACACAAACACCAGAAAAATCGGAGGGCAATGTGAGGCGAAGACAAGACTGCAGCTCACCAATGAGATGAAGGTTTCTGGTTTGGTTCTTGGGTTTTTTTTTTGTGACAATGTGTATGTTAGTTTCCAAATGTGTACAACTATACGAAGGGCTGGAGAGGACATTATGGAGATTGCAGGTATGTGAAAGGAACAGACTCACTTGATTTTTAAATCTATAATTCTTCACTCATAAAAGAAATATTCTTCATGGAAAAATGTCTTTTTAAGTGTAATAAAATACATTTCTTTAAGAAAACATACTTTACGAAACTTCGTAGGAAGTTCAAATGACATTATTGGAAGTAAAATAGACCTGCTGACTTGCAAGCTGTTTAAAATAAAACTTTCCTGGAATTATCGCATACATGTGCCATCGCTTTGGAAACTAATAGCTATTAAAAACTATAAAATGATTTTCAGATGAACATCTAGAGAAAATTAAAAAAAAAATAGATCTGGTAAATCTAGATATTCGATAATTCAAAAAATATAAATCTTGAATTCCTGGCACCAAGTTTAAAAAAAATGTTAGATTCCACAAGATCATTTCCTTCTGGGCACACACGTTAGCTTTGACTTTATAAAAATACAATATCCTACCAAGGACACAAATCCTTTTTTTAAGTGTAATTACAATATAATTCAGCGGACTGTGGTAACTGCTGGTGTTCACCTGAAATCATGAATTATCGGCATGCTCTGCAGTCCTGCTAGCAGGCTCTAGTGCTTTGTTCATAAATATAAAAATCATGCAGAAATCTCCTAAAGCAACAGCTATGCGACCCCTCTGCGGACATTCCTCAGCAGCTCTCTTCTGAGTGTCTCCCACGGTGTCCAAGCTCCGCCACCGTGTCCTTCAGGCAGAGTGAGATGGTCATTCCAGTTCCGTGGCTTCTGAAATCAGTGACACGTGTGCACAGAAACGGACCAAAATGTCTCCTTGTCGGTGGCAATGCCTTTTACAATCCTAATCCATGTTCATTTTCTGCCTAGAAAGGGCTGTGTTTGCCACCTGTGACTACGGGCCGTGCATATTCTACGAAGTCATCTATAAGAACAGGCCATGCTCCTAAAAACAAGCAAAAATATATATTTTTAAATGTACATTTTAGAGCAGTATTTAAAAAAAAATTTTTTTTAAAAAATATATTTTATTGATTTTTTACAGAGAGGAAGGGAGAGAGATAGAGAGCTAGAAACGTCAATGAGAGAGAAACATCGACCAGCTGCCTCTTGCACACCCCCTACTGGGGATGTGCCTGCAACCAACGTACATGCCCTTGACGGGAATCGAACCAGGGACCTTTCAGTCCGCAAACCGACGCTCTATCCACTGAGCCAAACCAGCTTCGGCTAAAGCAGTATTTTTTATTCAAAGCACTGTTTTCATAATCTAACACTTATAGTTAAAAAAACTCAAATGATTTTTAATTTCCACAGCTTGTGCTTCACTTAACTGCTGAAGTTATCCACTTCGTCTGCTCTAGCCGGACCTGGGCCGGCAGTTCCTGGTGTGCTCGTGTAGGCATGGCCCTCGCTGACAACAGTGGCACCAGGGCCAGTTGGGGGCAGGGGCTACTAAGTGTGTGGTTATGTTCATGTAGGTAAATGTAAGCTGGACTCATCAAATTAGCTTAACCAGCCTAAAGACATGAGGCACCAAATGGGATTACATCTTGGAACAGCTTTTTCCAAACACCTGTCTGGTTCTACGGTTCTGCCAGGGGCTCTCTGCATGCCCATATTTTAAATGCTTTAGAGAACTGTCTTCTTGATTAAATAAACCCTATTTTTCTTGTGTGTGATTTACAAGATACAATGAAGTGGATACTATTATTTTCATCACCACCTCCATTTCAGCAATGGGGTAAAGCCAGGAGTCAACTGGATCTATCTGACCCCAGTGTCTGTGTCATCATCACTGTCCTCTATTCTCAGGTTCATCTGACCCCAATGTCTATGACACCATCACTGTTCTCTATTCTCTGATTTGTCTGACCCCAGCGTCTGTGTCACCATCGCCGTCCTGTGCTCTAGGGCAGGAGAACTTAACATACATATCAGCATTTGTGGTGATCACCCAAAGCACAACTACAACTTCTTGTACCTTCTTCGTCATAGTTAGACATGTCATCTGCAATCATATTCCCAAAATCCAGAAGCAGGTTCCAAGTGTCCCTTGGGATTGACCTTTTGTGATGTTCCTAATACAGAAGAGAAGAAAACCACCAGACTTAAGACAGAGCCATAACTCTCAGATGCACCAGTGATCTCAGTGCATAATTGGATGAGGAATAAGCATCATAAGAAAACTGTTAAAAGTTAAAAATAGATAAATGTTAAGAGTTACATAATACCGATGCTCAAATATAGAAAGTAAACTTATTTAAAAACAAAACATGTAAAATACAAAGATTATAAGCTCCTGTTACAGTCAAATACAAGGGTAGCATTTTTAAT